TCTCTCTCTCTCTCTCTCTCTCTCTCTCTCTCTCTATCTCACACACACACACACTGCAGAGCTTATCTGACCTATGCATGACCAGTTTGCAACCTCTGAAGTAATGAAAGGTTATCCCTCAGTCCACCTCTGTTGAACACTGCCTGTTTTCGCCGCAGGTATCTGAACGTCTCAAAGTGGTAGATGTCATAGGCACCAAAGTCTACAACGATGGAGAACAAATCATTGCTCAGGTGGGGTATCCTTTATGTGATTCTGTTGGGGATGATGCCCCCACACGTTATTATACATTCCAAATGTGTTCCTGCAATTGGGTGTGCAGTGATGAATATTCCTTCTAACAAATGACCTCTTCAGAATGATTTGTTATACCCCCAAAGCAATTTTTATATTTTTATTTATATAACTAACAATGGATATTCATGAAACCATCTAAAGGTTTTCTGTATCATTTTATAGTTGTACGTGACATGAAATTCACACGTACATAAATAGTGAAAGGAGCCCTGGTGGTGTAGGGGGTTCCGTGTTGGGCTGCTAACCACAAGGTTGGCAGTTTGAACCCCTCAGCCGCTCTGGGAGGCAAAGATGAGGCTGTCTGCTCCTGTAAAGACTTCTAGTCTTGGAAACCTGAAGGGTCAGCTCTGCTGTGCCCTAACGAGTCTCTAGGAGTCAGACTCAGCTGGATGGCAGTGGGTTTGGAATGTCAAGAAGGAGATCTCCTTTAGGAGAGGAAAGCCCCAGGGGTGCTCCCTGGGACTCACGGGGAATGCCCGGAAGGACATGTTGGGAGATGCTGTTGTTTTTCTTGGTCAAGAGCTCATCTAGCAGCCAGAAGAAGCTCCCAAGGCTGCTAGCTGATGTCAGCCCAGAAGGGAGCCGAGTGGACCATAAAGGTCTTCTGGGGAGTAAAGGGGTCAGCGTGTTATTTAACCCCTAATGCTTTCTTAAACCCCAGTTGGAGCCATTAGTACAAGGGGGCTTCAAAAAGTTGGTGAGAAAAAAATGGAATTAGGAAACCATGGCATTTCCCCATGAATGCTTTGAAGCCCTGCGGCATTCCGGTGCTCGGTTCCAGTGGGTCTCCCTAAAAGTAGGGTTGGCGAGAGTCCAGGGAGAAAGCCTACAGGTGGTCACACCTCGTTTCAGAGGTGTCTGTTTGCAGCTTAGAGCAAGTGATCCCGATGGGTTTTTAAAATAGATTCAGTTGTTTATGTGTCATCTCAACCACTGACTTTCCCTTTGATGTGCGTAATACAAGGGTCAAGGTCTGTCAGGCGGAGGGAAGGATCAGTGTTTCAGAAGGCAAATAAAAACATAAAGCAAGCCCTCTTGCTTTCCTCCGTACGTACGCACAGACTAGAGCAGTCAGGGACCAAGGCTTACGCATCACTGCCTTTGAGTCTTTTCTGACTCATAGCCACCCCGTAGGACAGAGTGGCACTCCCCCTGTGGGTGTCCAGACTGTAACTTGCTACAGGGGTAAGAAGCCTTATCTTTCTCCCTTGGAGTGGCTGCTGTGTTTGAACTACTGACCTTGTGGTTAGCCCACTACACCGCCAGGCTCCTCCTGATCAAGGTTTAGGCGCTAAGAAATAAATGGGTAAATAACAAAAGTTTACCAGTTGTTGCCGAGGCGATTCCTGATTGTGGCAGTGGCTCCTTGGGCGTCAGGGTCGATCTGCGCTCCGGGGCCTCTCATGGCTGTGACCTTGAGACCTCTCTTCTTAGGGGCTCTGGGTGGGTTCAGATATCTATGCTTTGGGTCAGCAGTCAAATGCTTAACCTTTTGCACTACTCAAGGAGAGCAGAGCAAAATGTACTCTTAAAGGGATTTTTTAAGCTTTGTATTTTGAAGTAACTATTCCCAGCAAGTTGCACGGATAAGACAGAGTCCCCTCACCCAGGGTTCCCCCAGGGTCATGTCTGTCTTCTCTTTCCTTCAGGACCAGAACCAGCCAATGGCCATTGGTGTAACCCACAGATCTTACTCAGGGTTTACTAGTGCTACATGCACTTAGAGCATATAACCGAGGACTTATAAACTTAGAGGGTTTGTTTTTTTTCTGGGGCCTATAATATACTTACTGTTTTGATGCCCTCCTGGTTTTATTATGACATGTATTAATCTGGTAGATATTCATTATTCTAGTAAATGAATATTATTGAAAGTTTTACCCTATCATCAACACCGATTGTTTTTTTTTTTTGTTTTTTTAATCATTTTATTAGGGACTCATATGACTCTTATCACAATCCATACTTACATCAATTGTGTAAAGCACATTTGTACATTCATTGCCCTCGTCATTCTCAAAACATTTGCTCTCCACTTAAGCCCCCAGCATCAGGTCCTCATTTTTTCCCCTCCCACCCCGCTCCCTCCTCCCTCATGAGCCCTTGATAATTTTTAAATT